ATCTCCAAATTCGTTCTTATATCACAAACTAATCATTTAAATCCCCATTAATCGTTAACCCTCGGTGTGTGAACAGTGCCCGTGAACAGTACTGTGAACAGTGACTGCACTTTCAAAATTGGCAAAGCATAGCTAATTTACGGGGTTTCTTTCCAAAATCTCACAACAGTCATAACAAGCTAATTTTCTACTTAAACCACACTTAAAAACATAGCTTAAAGCTACCAAAATTCATTCCATTTCTCACGGCATCACAGGGGGAACATAACTTGGCAAATCACAACTCACACACACGAGAGTTCTCACACAAACATCGCAGCAACTAATTCAAGCTAAATTCTACATAATCAAGCTTAAAACACATTTAAAATACTACCGGAATTCCTCCCCATTTCCGGCACAATTCGGACACACACAAAGCAGCAATTAAATGGCTAATTTAGGGCTTAAAGAAGTGGCCATCATACCAGAATTTTCCAGCAAGAACCGGACCTAGTAGGGAGAAGAAGAAGCCGGTGGCAAGCTGCAGGGGAACTTACGGACTAGCCAAAATTGAGGGAAATAAACAGAAATTAGCATAACCCAGCCTAAATCAAGGTTAAAGAGATGATTTCTTGGCTGTGGCTTACCCGAAAAATGCCCAGCAATTCACACCCACATAGCAGCCGGCGGACAGGGGAGAAGAGCAGAGCAGATTCGGGATTTTCTGGGTTGAGAGGGAAGATTCTAAGCCCCAAATCTTGTGATTTAACAAGAAAGGAAGAGAAATTCATCAAGATCTGTAAGGACAGGTCCGAGGTGCCAAGCCTCGGACTGCTACAGTAACTCCTCTATGACCGAGGTGGGAAATAAACCCAAAACCTCCCGCTCAAATAGATGCATGACAGTGACAATAAGCATGCCCGCACCTGATTCCTTGTGATGAATCGCACAGCAAGTATGGTGGACGCTTGTGCATCTGAATACCTCTCAAATTCCCGGTCCCGAAATAATCGTCTGGATGAACACGTCAGGCTCCGATTATCTTGCTTGGCATGTCACGTGGGTTCCTCATTGAATCCTATAAATACCCCCCCGGGCCACGTCAAAAGGTAATTGAAACCAACCTTAAGCTTTTCTTATCTCTGCCCTAAAGGTAGCCCCGATTATTGCTGACTTAAGCATCGGAGTGTCTACCCCGAGTTCCACCTCGGGGCTTTGCAGGTCATTCCGAAGTGCAAACGCGGACTAGAGAAGGACTTCGAGTCTGGTGCAATTACATTGGCGCCGTCTGTGGGAATCGAACTGAAAGCTTTCCAGTTGCTCTTTCATCATGGTTCACACTCGATCAGTCCGAGCTGGTAATTCATCTCTGCCTCATGGGCAAGGTCAACCCCCCAACAACCT